GACTAGAGGAAAAATAATGCATATTGCTAAGTAAAAGATACCAGTCTAAAACAGCTATTATTGTATAATTCAAACTTTGTAATTCTGCAAAAGGCCAAACTCTGGAAAGAAAAAGATCAGCAAATCCCTAGGGGAACATTCCATCAGGACAAGAGTCACTGGACAAGTGCTTACCAAATCCCCGCTTGTCTCACTCTTATTATGCTCAATTGACCAAAGTAAGTCACATGGCCAAGCCGAGTCATTATAGTAAGGATCAGACAGGGACTAGAGTACTGGTAGCTATGGCTCACTGGCAGCCACCTGTGTAACTGTCTACCACATCCTGCTGTGTGGAAGAATAGACTTACTTAAGGAACTGCACTAAAAATATTCCTGGTGGTGGGATTCATGACTGAGTGTCTCCAGAAGAGTGAGATTTCTCCACTATCACTGTATAAGTGGACACTTTCTGTTCTCCCATGCACAACTCCCAGGAAGCAGGTCAAATGTAGACTGTTCAGGTATACTGCCAATCCTGTGTCATCTGGGGAACACTAATATGTCTACTGTGGTAGAAGGCAACAAATCTACTGTTGAGGTCAATATTCAGTACAACATCCAACTTTGCTAATACACAAGTGTTTGTGTCAGGTTATCTGTCAGTAACCTGGCTAGACATCATAGCCTGAAGAAATAGAGGCAGCTTTGCAAGGACTGAGTGATGTTTTTGATGTTAGGGCCTCATTTTACTCCTCCTTCAAATCTCATACTTACTCTCACTTGCCAGGGAAGTCCCCAAGATTGTTACTTTAATTCATAGTCATAGCGCTTCCTTTCTCTTCTAATATACATTGTTCTTACTGATTCTAATATCTGAATTCCTAATGGCCTATCAGTTCTGAGAATCTTGTATCTTGCACATCAAGGCATATCCAGTACCAATACTGTGGGTTTTGAAATGGAAAACTACTTTTATGTCTTTCCTTCTACTACCTCTCCTACCCCTGGAATCACCAATCACTTTTGAAACTGCTGACTAGAAGCAAAAGGCCACTGACCTTGGACTCTTTGGCAGAACCTATGGTGAGAACTGCTTTCAAGAAATAGTAGCTCCAGTTGCAACACTGGAATGAAATGGCCCCTAATTTTTGGCATACTCATGTAAATCATGTCAACTGGAATCTAACTTCCTGTCCTTCCAGAGTGAGATGACACTGCTCAAACCTTGTGTTATGGATGCTGAGTCAAGCATCCCAATTCAATGGGTATTCTTTGTCAAAAGTTTCCATAGAAAAATAGTGTAATAGTAGATAAAATAGACTGATGGGTATTGTTAATTTTAATGCTTTCTAGTACTACTAGAGGAACAGAAAGGTGCAAAGGCTGAGCCAGTGAATGATATCTTGAAAGGAATCCCATGTCCACACCTGTGAGATCTCAGGAGCTAAGGACTATAAATGCCAGCATGCCATGAATCTGACTTACTAAGTTGGAAGCTGCTGGGAACCAGGGACAGAGCTAAGGGCCATGTTGGGTTTAAAATCTGAAGAAATGCATAGTTTTGTTCCCTTGCTATCTGCCTTTGGCTAATACTCTGGCCACAGTTCACATGGGCTGCTAGTAGGACAGACAACATCCAGCCATGTGCTAACCTGTCTATCTGCTCTCTCTCTTTCTTTCTGCTTTCCTTCTTCTCACTCCCTTTGTAAATAAACTTTTTTTTTTTTTTAAATTTCCCTCTGTGTGTCTACTTTTAAGTGTCATCCAAGTGTGGGGAGGACCCACAACCTGGGTCACCCATATCACCCAGGTTTACCCTGTAACCCTTCTTCTGGGCCTCAGCTCTAACTGGGAAATGTGCACTGGTCTACTCTTCCATTAGCTTCAGACTCAAATGCTTCATAGGTCCCCACCTTCCTCCCTCTTCTCTTTTACTTTCTCCTCGCCACCCAGGGTCATCTACCATCCACCAATAATTCTATTTTTTAAATACCAAGCACATTCTTCTTTTATGAAGATTATCCCCCAACTTTATTGAGTTGTCATTAAAGTACACTAAACTATAGATATTTAAAGTGCATATTCTATCAGTGAATACATGATAGAATGGCCTCTCAAACATTTCCATCACTGCTCAAAGTTTACTTGTGTCCTCTTAAATCCATTCCTCTCTCAATACCATCCCAAGGTAACTGTATATCTGATATCTCTTTTTATAGATTAGTTCATATTTTCTAAACCTTTTTAAAAAATAAATGGAATCCGGCCCTCCCTGGTGGCGCAGCGGGTTAAAGCACAGCACTGAGAATCTAAAGTCGCTTCTGCAAGAGTTCGATTCCCGCTTGCCCCGGAGGTGACCACATGGTGTGGCAGACCTCTCCTGACCTACCCGCTGCTCCGCAGTGTACTTCATCGATCTGCCTGTTCTGTTCCCCACTCTGTCTCTGGTGAAGCCTCTCACTGCCACTCACCTAGTACGCCTCTGGCCTGTACCCCAGTTCTTTATGCACAAATAAATCTTTTTTTTTTTTTAAAGATTTATTTATTTGTGCGTACAGAACTGGGGTACAGGCCAGAGGCTCAGGGGCAGTGAGAGGCTTCACCAGAGACAGAGTGGGGAACAGAACAGGCAGATCGACGAAGTTATGCACAAATAAATCTTAATAAATAAATAAATAAATGGAATCATTCAATATATTCTCCCTCTCTTTTTTGCCTAACTTCTTTTATTATAATTTTGAGATTATTCAGCATTCTTTTGTGTATTAATAGTTTGTCTTTATTGCTGAGTATTATGTCATTATGTATATATATATATTGATTTGTTTATCTAGTTATCCACTGTTGGATTTTGGCTGTTTCTGGGTTTTGGATTTTACAAATGAAACTCCTATGAATATTCACTGCAATTTCCCGTTTCATGCTTGAGTGAATGTTTGAGTTGTATAGTAGATACATGTTTACCTTTTGAAGAAACTGTCAATCTGATTTTCAAACTGGGTATACCATCTTACATTCCCACCAAGTAATGTTTAAAAGTTTCAGTTATTCTATATCTTTACCAACATTTGGTAGGGTCAGTCAATTTAAATTTTGCTATCTAATTGTGGCTTGGTAGTTTGTTTTACTGCACAGCATTTAGCTAAAGTCATGGCTTCATCTCTACCAAGGGGGGAATATTTGTTTAAGTTTACAGGAAATAAAACTGAATTACACCTGTTGTGTCAGTAAAGTGAATAGTGTCCTCTTTTACCCTTTAAAGTTTGGATAATAAAATAAGTGGTTTCTCTTCTTCTAGTTCAATTTGTCATGCCCCTGGGCTGTCCTTTCAGCTTCAAAGACCCATCAAAGGCCTTTTCTCAACGGACTTTTACATCCTCGAAAAGCAATTTTCCTGCTTATCTTAATTTTTTTTCTCTCCTTACTGCAGCAAGATTATAGAAGGAAAGGAGTGACAAAATGTAGCCTATTGCTGGGATGTAGGTTGAGTGGAAGAGAAAGATGGAAGCTTTGACACCACCATCTGAGACAGATGCAGTCATGCTTGTGGCTTTAAGAAATATTCCCTAACATTTCTGCACAAGAACCCAGGAACCTCCCTTTTGGTATAAAATAGTTTGATTTGGATTTCTGTCACTTGTGTTTAAGAGTCCTGGTGAATATACACAGTAGGGGAATATGTCTCAGAAAGACAATAGCATTTTGCCAGTCTGTTTCTGGCAGAAACTGTTTCTCATTTCACATCTGCAATTCCTTCTGTCTTCCCAACAGTTACTGGGATCTAGCCTTAGAAAATTCAAACAAAACACTGGTCACACTGATTGAGGATGAAACTTCAGAGGACTCTTAAGGGTCCTCTGGGTCCTTGCCCAGGGTCAAAGTATTCAACACAGTCACTACATGGTTTGTTTCATCAAGTACTCTAGCTCTGTGAGTCCACTGTATGCAGCAGATTCTTTAATCTTTAACTAAATTGTCATTTAGTGGTCTGATCCAAAAACTCTTCTGAATTTTAGAAGTCTCTATTTCCAAGTAACATTTCCTTCCTTTTTAGGTTAGAATTAATATTTATAGAAACATATCCTATATACTTAGAGCACAACCTTATAAAATACCTTTATTGAAGGTCTCTCTAAATAACTGGAGGTTTGCACCCACACAATGAATTGCTAGAGTCTTTTGAAGATAGTTCTCTATAAGCAGAGCAGAGGTATATACTCCAGTGGAAGAAAAGAGGAGGCCTAAAGTAGGGGGGTTGACATAAAAAAAGTCCTCTTTCAATATGGTACATATACACAATGGAATATTACTCAGCAACCAAAAAAAAAAACCACATCCCTTTTGCAGCAACACAGCAACATGGAAGGAGCTGGAAAAGATCATGCTTAGTGAAATAAGCCAGAAAGAAAAGGAAAAATACCGGATGGTTTCATTCATAGCATTAGTATAACAGAAACATTTTATGGGGGTGGAGTGGGGAGTGGGATCAAAAACAGTGGGGGAAGGGACTGGACTGGACTATGGTGAGGGCACACGGGTGATTTGGTAATGGGAAACCCACAGGGATTACAACTGAAATGGAAAAATGCACAAAGTGATGTAAAAATAAACTCTTTCAGTCTACCCTCAGATAATTTTGATTGCAGAATTGAGCAAGGGCTCTGACCTCCAAGGATCCCTCCCAGGAGTAATAAATGACCCTAGCCTTACGCACTCCAGTAGAACTACTTCGATCTGGCGGTGAGGTAGTGTTTGGGCCCCTGGGGACCCCCTCCTCTATGAGGTTCTGCCAGCGGGAAAGCTACCGGGCAGGTAGTTCCTCAAGTGACTATAAACCTGCAGCCCTCAGCCTTGGGTAGTAATCTAGGTTAAGGAGCAGTAGACCTGAGGACCGCCTCTGAGTGACGGCAGTCTTGGCGTTGACCCCGCCCCTTCAGCCTCTAAGTCCCGCCTCTGAGCTCACAGGCTCTCCTCTGCCGGCAACGAACCGCCTCCGAGCTCAGGCGTTTCATCTCCTCCCCTAGAAGCTCTGGACCGCGCACCCGCTGCTGGATCTTGTCCCTCTCACACACCCGGCTCCGGCACTCCACCCCTGAGAGTCCAGGCTCCACAACTGCCCCTCAAGGTCCCACCCTTCCCGCCGTAGCTCCACCCCTCACCCTCAAGGCCCCGCCCCGCCCTCGCGGGTTCCCCTCTCCGTATGCCCTGGCCCCACCCCCGAGCCCTTGGGAGTACATGGGCGGAGTTACCGCGCTGGAGAAGGCGTGGCCGTGGTGCCGGAGGAGGCGCGCGCCGCGGGGGTGGCGCGGCCCGGACTTTGGCTTTGACACGCACGGCGAGCGGGAGCCGTGGAGCTGGTGCTGAGTACTGGACGCGATTCTGGCCGATCCCGACGTCTGAGTGGAGCGCAGGACTTTTTCCCTGGATTAATGCGACTGCGGCGACGCTGCGAGTCCTGGTGCAGTCGCTAGCCCTGGTGCAGTCGCGGCTCTCAGATTTAGCCGCCGCTGTCGCCTCAGAGCAGCTCTGGAGCTCCCGCCCGCTTCAGGAAAGCGACTCTGAGAGTTTCTCCAGCAGAAAGAACCGGGACGCGGGACCCGCGGCGCCGTGCAAGGGATCCTGGGGCCCGGTCCTTGCCTGGTAACCGCACAGGCACCCGAGCTGAAGGTAGGGGCCCGCGCTGTCCCGGCTGGGGAGTTGCAGGTGGAAGAAGGACGTCCCCGAGAAGCGGCCGAGGGGCACAGGCACTGGCGGTGGGGCGGTCGGGGTCTGTAAACCCCCAGCACTAGTGAGAACAAGATTCCCAAGTTGAGATGGCCCCGACTGTCAGACGTGGGGAGCCGTGAGGCATGAGCCTTGCCTTCTGCTAAAGCCCAGGTGGGAGCGACCATAGAGGAGAGTCCCAGAGTCGCCAGAGTTGAGAAGCGAAGGTATCTGCTGTTGAGCATGTTGAGCATCCGTCACTTCCCCAGCGAAGGGATTGGTAGCCTTTTGGGACTGACTGCAATGTGGTATTAAACCAAAACAACAGAAAGCACAGTTCTGTTTTCTCCAGAGGAAAATGCACATAGGCCAGCCTAATTTTATGTCCTTGTTTCAGGGATAGCAACTAGCCTGGGACTTCTTGTTTAGAATTCCCTATCAAGATAGGGAAGGCTAATTAATGCATGCTGATTAATTCAATCAATGTATGTGCTTATTAATTTGTTTTTCTAGGTGACCAAATGAAAGGTTCTTTTGGACATACTGGCCATGGAGAGTTAGCGTTGCCTGAGAACCGGTTCTCTGCCTGAATCCAGCACCTTCCCTTCTGTGCCTCTATGGTCTATTGAGTTGAATCCCTACCCAGAGAGTTCTTCTTGTATAGTGAGGCCTTTCTGGGGCCGTGATTCTGCCCAGCCATGGGGAGCACCCTGGGCTGCCACCGCTCCATCCCCAGGGACCCCTCAGACCTGTCCCACAGCCGAAAATTCAGTGCAGCCTGCAACTTCAGCAACATTCTAGTGAATCAGGAGCGCCTCAACATCAACACAGCCACAGAGGAGGAACTGATGACCTTGCCCGGGGTAACACGTGCAGTGGCACGCAGCATCGTGGAGTACCGAGAATACATCGGTGGCTTCAAGAAGGTAGAGGACCTGGCACTTGTCAGTGGTGTGGGCGCCACCAAACTGGAGCAGGTCAAGTTTGAGATCTGTGTGAGCAGCAAAGGAAGCTCAGCACAGCACTCTCCCAGCTCCCTGCGGCGGGACCTGCTGGCAGAGCAGCAACCTCACCACCTGGCCACCTCTGTGCCTCTCACCCCGCGTGTCAACATCAATACAGCCACGCCGGCCCAGCTCATGAGCGTGCGAGGTCTCACAGAGAAGATGGCAGTGAGCATTGTAGACTATCGCCGTGAGCACGGGCCCTTCCGCAGCGTTGAGGACTTGGTGAGGATGGGCGGTATCAACGCGGCATTCTTGGACCGGATCAGGCACCAAGTGTTTGCCGAGAGATCCAGACCTCCATCCACTCATACCAATGGGGGCTTGACTTTCACAGCCAAGCCGCACCCAAGTCCCACCTCCCTCAGTCTGCAGAGTGAAGATCTGGACCTGCCGCCAGGGGGGCCCACACAGATTATCTCCACTAGGCCTTCTGTGGAGGCCTTTGGAGGCACGAGGGATGGGAGACCTGTGCTAAGGCTAGCTACCTGGAACTTGCATGGCTGCTCAGTGGAGAAGGCCAACAACCCTGGAGTTCGAGAGGTGGTGTGCATGACACTCCTGGAAAACAGGTGAGGACAGGAATCAGCAAGGGTGTTCAGTGTCAAAGCAGATCTTGCATGTCTTCAGCTGTGCATGCAGATGAGTGGACTTTTGGAGGGTGGGGCAGGGCCAACAATATTTGCTAAGTGTTCTTGAGGCTATAGCCAATATTGTCTCTTGTGACTGAGCTCTCCTGCTCCAGCATTTTCTGAATCCATGTGGCCTGCGTCTTGAATGTGGCATATCTGAAATCAGTTCATGATTTTGGGGTAAGCGGAGGTTATGTTAGTGTTACTGCTTTGGAGTCTGTTGTTTGACTCACTAGACTTGTTAGGATTTACCAAGATCAGGGACTCAGAACCTGGGAACTACTCCACAATTTACATGCAGGAATGAGCTAATTGGATTGTTTTTAAGGGAGGGAAAAAATCACATTTGTTCCATTAAATATGTCATGTGTAGAAAATCATCTTAAAGATCTTGTACTATATATTTACCAAAATGCTGTGAATGAATCACCTCATTCTTTTTCCTTATTTAGCCTGAAGTTGTTTTTCAGGGCCACAATTGCAGCCCTAAATGTATGTAACCTTTTTTGTCTTATAGCCAAGCTGATGTGTGGTGAATATTGTTCAGATTCTCCCATTTGAACCACTGGGGAAGACACTATCAGGATAGCCTGTTTTCAGTGTTTACATTATTCATGACACTGTTCTCTGTAAGAACTTCTGTTACATCTCCATAAAACAGAAACAATATTATTGTAACAGTATGTCTGCTATTAGTAAAATAGTTTTATATAATACAGTCAGTTATGGGAAGGAAAGAAATATTTTTAACAGTTCCTTTAGGTCAGGAAGCCTCTGATACTGGCCTGGAGGGATTTGGCCCTGCTACTCACCAGAGGTGTGTAATGTTTGTAGCCACTTGCTTCTTTTCTCTGTATTGGCTTGTTGATGAGGCTGGGGGGGTGGCAGCTTGGTGACGTGAGGTAAACTTATGGCAGGAAATCACTGTGCATTGTGCAGACCATCAGGATAATGAGTGAGGAGAAAACCAGATCAAAATATTTCCCTGGTATGTCCTGGTAGCACACACTCATTACTGGGAGATTGTGCCCTGGGTTGGAGAACTGGACCCAAGAGCCTCTGAGAGCTCTTCCTGCACTGCTGTGTCCTGTTTTGCACCATAACTCAGGACTTTTACAAAATCAACTTGTGTACAGATAAGAAATGGACTCAGTCCTGGGAGGTGTTTATCAGGGATGACTTGATCATCTGTTCACTTCCTTGATAGCAGCGAGGGCATAAAGGAAGGGGAGGGGTGGAGGACCTAGGAAAGGGCAGTTATTTAATCCCTATTGTAAGTTTTATTGAGGCTCAGTTTGGGGGGGATAGAAAGAGATGAATTGGTATCCAAAGTTATCCTAGTGGGAATGACTTGCGAGGCAGCCCTGCTCACTTACTGTGACAGCTATTTTCCAGTATGGTCCTTGGGCGAACATCAGCATCAGCAACTAATCAGAGTTCTGGATTTCTGTGTTCTCATATGCCCTCCATGTAGTTTGCCACCCACTAAAGTTTGAGCCCCATGGTACTATGTGTGGCATCAACTCTCCCTCATAGGTTGCTCTGGCAAGTGCTTTTCCCACTGCTGGCTTTTCTGGCAAGATAGGGGATGCCATGAAACGCTTACTAGGTCCTCTGTTTCCTTTTATTGTTTGATTGCTCCTGTAGAACTCCAGATGCTTCCATTCTTCGGTGGGTAATTGGGTAACTAGGGACTCTACGGAAGGGACAGTAGCTCCTTCCCAGTATGGAATTAGGATTTGTCCTAGTTTTTCTTTTTTGCACTTTCTAGAGGGTTGATCTGTTGAAAACTTTAAACGGCTGTCCTCAAGCAAGGGTGCTAGAAGAGTTTATCCAAACCCAGTAGCCTCTGGAAATAACTGGAAAGGTGACCTACACTTCTGTCACATTTGTCACACCCACCCACATCTGTTGTTCTGTGGATTGGTGGTTCCTTTTGCTTATTCACAATGTGGTTAGAATTCTGGGCTTTCCTAGCACCTTGTTAGCTTCTGGTAAACAAGAACTAATAGGATTAAGGTCTGATCCCCTGCAGAGCTGGTGCAGTACATTTCCTATGTAACTGTCCTAGGACACCAAAAGACAGCTGCCTGTGACAGAGTGGATCATGAGTCCTCAAGATAGAGCTGCGTGTTTATCCTGATTCACAAAAATCTCTTGCATTCCAATTGTTCCCTTTACTAGTAAGAGGAAATAAATTTCGTTTGCGCAAGGACAAATGTGTGTAATTTTCCAGGAGCCCCTTATTTCCTACATGTATACATATAATTTTTGGAAGTGCTTTCATATTTTGTAAAAGCTTTCCCACTCGTTTGAGTTCCTCAATTCCTCTGAGAAGTAGGTAATGGTTGCTTTTATTAATAAATCTCTGTCTTTGGGTGAGATGAAATTGAATGACTTGCCTCCATCCTCCAGTTTTTGATGACTCAACTGGAGCGAAGACTTAGACCTCCTGACTTTAGACCCAGTATCTTTGCAAACAAGTTTACATTAACTCTGCCTCTTGTTGAGGTATTCCACATTCTTCCTATTCAAGGGCAGATACTAAATTGTGTGCTAGGCACATTTTCTTAAATCTGTTGTAAAGACATTTTAAAGAAACTCTTGAGACCACCTCTTCTGTGTTAAGTTGGTAAAATTCCTTAACTTCTCCAAGTCTCAATCTTTTCATCTGTTATATATGGCTACTGGAAAGAGAGAGGAAGAGAAAGAAAGAAGTGGGGGGTGGGGTGGAGAAAGATATTTGAGCCTTGCTCTCTTCTTTTGCAAAGGGAATAGCTAGCCTTTAGTTTTCCTCTCTGCATTAGTAGGTGTGTTTTCTTAGACTACTACAGCCTGTGAAATGTAGGAGTTAGATCCTTTCTTGTCCTGAGATGCTGCTGTATTCACTGGTGGATAAATATGTGTGAGCCACAAGAAACCATATTTTGCACACAAAGCCTGAGGTAGAGAGGCAGAAAGCTAGCTTATCATGCAGTCACCAGGTGTCTTCAAGGCTGCCATGCTGTGGCACAGAGCTGATGGGTTTCATCACAATCCTTTGCCAAATCTCAGTCTTAGGTAATATTTTTCCTCTCTGTATCTATGGAGCAAGACTAAAGGAGGAGTGCTTCTGCTAAATATCCTTGCAAAATTTGGTGACAGCCCACAGATGGAATGAAGATGGTTTAAGTTTTATTTTCATTTTTGCTGAGGTAGTATTCTATTTCCAAAAGTACCTTTGGTACTTTTGAAAGTATAAACCCTGGGAATGTTGACAGATAATCTCCAAAAGAAATAAGGAGGCTTAACATCCACTTGCTTGTTTTCCTGTGGCCTGCATCAGAAGAGAACTTGAATGTCAAAGTCTTTAGCTAATAGTGGTCTGAATCTATTTTCTCAACACACATCTGCCCCAAGTATCAAAGCATGAGTGAATTAGTGCCTGGAATAACACTGATTGTGAAAAAAAGAGCTCTTCCTTCATCAGGATTGATTGGTAGGACCTATGTAGACACAACCAATTTTGTCCTTTGACTCATTAGGTGAAAAATATGTATTGAATGACTGCTATGTATATGCACATACTAAATTCAGGAGTCAGTTTGGTTCTGCTGCTTAGTGGAATTAAGTAAATACAAGTTGACTGGTATGGCTCAGTCTTAAAGCAATCTGATAAACCCACATTTCTGTGGCAAGTTACCAAGCTTGATTGATAACTCACTGTATTTTTTCTCATAAAAATAACAGGCTTATCATGGGAAACTGAAAGATGGGGAGATGTACCCAGATATAACATCTGGGGGAAACCTGCCCCCCCCACCCCCAGCACTGGTCTTAAAATAGAAATTGTCAAAGCATTTAGACAGCTGTGACAATTGAGGCTCGGAAAGATTAAATAGCATCCATGTGGCCTTCAGAAATGTAGATATTGGGATCAGGATATGAAACCAGGTATTTGCCTGATTTCAGAGTAGGAAGTGGAGGCATCTCTTCCCAAACCCCATGTCTTCTTATTGGCCCACCACTGCATCTTCCCTGTCTTGGGCCTGGGACTGACCAGGCACCAGGGCTTCATCTAGACTCTTGGAACTGAGTCAAGCCCCTGAAGGCTTCTGCTCCCTTCCTGTGTTTGTTCTTCTGAAGGACAGGGCTTATGGCCAGAGGTAGAGCAATCCAGAGAGGGATAGGGCCCTCCACCCGGCTCCTCAAGTATGAATCTGTGACCTTGGCTCAATTCCAAGGCAAAGTTCTAATTTTCTGGGCCAAGGAACTCTAGGTCATTTTCAAAGGGAAAAAAAGGTGGTCAGTAATGGGGCTGCTGTAGATTGATAAAAGAAGACAATGTGAATGAAAACATATTGTGTGCACAGAACACTGACACCGAGTTTATTTCACCAAAAGGAAGGATGCTCATTTTGTCTTTTAGGAAAGTTGGGTCCATTTGGAATCGGATTTGAGGGATTTAATAGCATTGATTCTCCCAGGTGATATTCATTCCTTCTTATTCATTCATTTCTCTGTTGAGTTCCAACTAGATGCCAAGTGCAGTCTCAGGCTCTCATAATAAAGTAGGGTTCAAAAATCCCCGCTCCTATGCTTCCATATTAGTCAGGGAAATGAACAAATCAGTAAGTAGACAATTAATAATAGATAGTGGCGAATGCTGAGGAAGGTGGAGCCAAAGAAAGTCTATTGAGATAGATGGAGTTCCAGACAGGTGAAAAACTGATGGATGATAAGGTGCCAAGGGTGAAGAAGTTGGGGAAAAGAGTGCTCCACTAGACAAACCAGCACTGCAAAGGCCCTGAGAGGGCTTGCTGCAGACAGCAAACTAGAGTTCTGGGAATATCAAGTGACTGGGTTGAAGGAGGAGGCAAGACCAGAGGCAGGGTCTCCAATCTATTATTTTGACAGTTAGAGGAGGCCAGAGAGTTAGAAGGGGAGACTGATAAATGACT